GGCCGGGGCGCTCACAGTATGGCCGCCTCCGATGACGGCCTGCAGCCAGACGGGGATGAGGGCCACCCCCACAATGTTGGAGGCCACCGTCAGGAATATCGCCATGGCCACGTTGCCCTGTGCATTCAACGGCGAAGAGGCAAGAAGTGCAGCAGTTGGCAGGTATGTTGTGAGCTGGCATGACGATGCAATGCGAGACGCTTCGAAGGACCCCTAGCTCTGCCGCCGCAAGTGCCAGCTGCCACGCCACGGCTCTCAGGCAGGCCGTTGGCCCGGCGGCCACCGCGCGCCCTCGCGCGCACGCGCAGCTGCAGGCAGCCTGGGCAACCTTCAAACAGCCGAGGCTGGGCCGCTGTGTGCACGCAAGGGCGGGCTGGCCCTTCTCCCAGCCCACAGTAAGGAGCGCGCCAAGCGAAGGCAGAACTCTCAAGCTCGCAGGTGCATCGGCTGTGTCACCAATGCGGCATGAGCTGCAAGTACCAATCAGATAGTTGGCACTTGTAACAAGCGCGGGCCGCGCGCACCTTGGCGCTCGTGACCAGCGAGATACCCACACCCAGCTACGGGCGGTCCAAGGTTGGCGAGAGTGGAAACAAGATCTGGTGAGATCCACGGCTCGCGGGCTCGCCGCCAGGTAGGATTGCCGCGCACGCGCAAGCAGGCCGGCGCCGGCTCGCCGCCCGGGGTCCCGCACGACGGCCACACAACCGCCGCCGCGCTGCTGGAACTGCCGCGTCGCGCACATGCTCTGCTGTCCAACACGCCTCAGCATGCGCACGCGCTCTGCGCGTGCTGCTTTGACATACATGACAAGCCAGCACTGCCGCCACCCCGTGCGTCCCCCTCCTTGCCAAAACACCGTGCCCACCGTTGTCGGCATGACCGCGAAGATCGCCAGGCCCGTGGCGAACTCCCTTGGTTCAAACGGCAGCCCCCGCAGCCCCCACGCGAGCAGCGGGGTAATGCCGACGATTGAGGCCATGCCGAAGGCGACGGCCAGGGCGCCGCGCCTCGCGAAGACCTGCTTCAGCTCGTCTGTCCTTAGGGCGAGGCCGCTGATCAGGAACACAAAGCAGGAGTTAATGAAAGCGACGATGCGCACGCCGGCAACCTAAGAGGAGGTTTGAGGGCGGGCGTCGGGGCTGTGATTGCAGGCGCGGGGCCGCTCCAATGCTGGGGCGCGGGTGGCCAGGCCCGGGGGAAATGCTTGCATGGGCGATCACGGGACAGGCGTTGAGGGAAACGTGATGGCACGGGCCTAGCAGCTTGATGTGTTCTGCTTTCCGCCGTCGCCCCCCCCCCCCAGCTGTCAGGCCGTGGGTTGCACGGCGGTGTGCGGGTGTGCTGCCACGCGCGCTAACGCGGCCGTTGCGCCGCCTGGCGGCCCGTGCCCACGGCGCAGCGCTCGCCTGCGGCGCCATCACGGCTTGGCCCGGCTGCGGCGCCGCCAGCGCGATGGTGAGGGCCACCACGAAGAACAGGGACAGGGAGTTTCTTGTGATGAAGGCACTGTGCACGTGCGTGTGTGTGGGATCGGATCGCAGCGGGTACAGTTTAATTGTTACCATATAGGGACTTTTGTTGACTTTTTGCGCGCCAACCCGCGGTCGCCGGGCGGCGCAATGGTAGCTGGTTGGGCGCCTCTGCGGATCAGCACAGCAGGCGTGCCCACTCTGAGGTCTCACCTGACATTGTTCCACAGTATCCTCAATTCGCTCTGCTCCGGCTGGCTCGCTCCCATACTGTCGCCCCCCTTGCGCACTGATGGTCAGCAGTGTGACTGCGTGGGCGCGCGCCGCCACTCCAAGGACTGCAACCACGTTGCGCGACGCTGCCAGAACTATTAATGCCGAAGCTACACCGTTGATTGCAACCGACCAAGCGCGCTTTCGGATCACTGTGGGCGGCAACCTGTGAGATAGCCGTAACCCGAGAGTCCTAGCAGCCTGTGCGTGCGCTGCCTCGAATTCGATGTTATTTGTGTCTGTGAGTGGCTGCCGCGGCCCTGGTGCGCTTAGGTTGATGGCTCAGCAATGCAGTGATGAGCAGAGACAATGAGGCCGCTCCCGGTGGCGCAGTGCCGCCCGTTCACCGCCCGCGCAAGGGCGCGTAGAGCCAGAGGATTCCAGCACTACGGACTAATTTTGCTGCTGTCTTGTTTATCAGCACTCATGAAGCAACGCGCATGCATGGTGACCCGCGTTTTGCACGCCCCTGGTGCATCCTTATCTCTGGCACCTGCACGACCACACACCATGGAATCCCACCAAAACGGCCAGCTGCGAAGATGGCATGGCCGCAGCAACTGCATTGAATGAACAGCCGATCGACAGGGGCAGCTGACTAAACCGCCAAATCCACTAGCGAGGCGGACTGCGAGCGACGCTTGCTGGACTGCTCATGCACTCGGGTGGACTGCAGGTGGGGCAGCAGGCGTGAGTTTGCTGGCTCACCCCAGAGCGCGTTGAAACCGGGTTTGAATTGGTCATACGCAGGATCAACGCATGTTTGCGGGCTTGAGACGCATGCCGGCGTTTGCCGCTGATGGACCGGCCGGCGGCAGCCGCGACAGCGGCAGCACAACATTCAGGATCACCGCCTCAAATCGTTTTGTGACCGGACGGCACCTGAATGTTCAATGCTCAGGAGTGCATGAACATATAATGTTGCAGGTCGCCTTGCACTCGTGCCATGCCTGCACAGCATTGATTTCAACAAGGTTGGGGCCGCGGCACCACAAGGGCGAAGCGCACCATTGCGTGTTGCAGCTAATCCCATCAGTCTCAGGTCGACTGCTGTCGCCGTAGCTTTGCCTGCACGCTACACCTCTCAGTGCCGTAGCGCCCTGCTCCCCTGGGACTTAACCACAGGTGGGCCACCCCATACAATAATATGATGCAAGAGCTTCGCCTGCAAGCGCTCATGCTCTCAGCAATGTGTAATGTCCCTTCAAAAAGCCAACAGATGCCATGAATTTTGTGCTGCAAGTGTTTGTTGCACCTCACTTGCCCTCACCCAGATTGAGGGCCGACCCTTGGTTGGACCACTTGGATTGTGAGGACGACTCCCGGAGTCTCAAGCTATGTCAGCATGCATACACCTGTGCCGTCCTGGTGTGCATGGGGGCGATTGTAAAATCTTCGGTTGTGCGAGTGTGTGAGTCTAGGCACCATGACTGTGATCAACAGTCCAGCAGAAGCTCGGTCGATGCGCGCTGTGTCATACACACGTTGTGTTGCATTTATCCGTGTTAAATCAATTAGTAGCAAATTTACCAAGCAAATGCGCGCACACTTGGCATATGTGCGCGCGGGCCTCAGTCCAGATGCATCACACAGAATCGCAGGCGGTGAGGGGCCAGTGGCAAACACAAGCTCCTGCGATACAGTCCCTGGAGCACCTGTGTCATCGTAGCGTATTTTTGGTGCTCCGAGGTATTCACATACGACACAACTCGTCGCGAAGCCCGCATGTAGATCGCCATGGCAGCCTCCGCCGAGAAGGACACGCTGGACAAAACCATCGCATTTTTACAAAAACGTGAAGGAGTTGACAAGGTTTGCAGGGTGGCTGGAACTGTACCCCCGTCGCAGTGTTTGCCAGTCACCTCTGCAGTTGCGCCAGCGCTGCGTCAACGGCGCCGGGCCTGTCGCCCTGGCGGATGTGCCTTGCATGCTGCGACCATGCGATGCACTGGGGTCGTTCTCACCTCAACATGCACACACGGCACAACAACAGGCGCTGAAGATCATCCGTTACACCTCGCGACTGGTGGCAGCACTCTCACCCCAGGGCAGCGAGGCGCGGCGGCGTTTCGATCTCCTGCAATCCAATGTCGCCAGCAGCCGGTGTGCAGCTTGGGCCTGGGCGTGGACGTGCCAGAGCTGCAGCGCCTGCCGATATCCGAATCCTGTGCGAGGCCGCCGCAGTGTGGTCACAGACCTGATGACTCGTCACGCAGCTGCCAGGCGGACCGCCAAAACACACAGCCGCTGCCCCCTTCCTGCCCCCACCTGCTGCTGCGTGCAGCGCGCTCCCTGCCCCCCTGCCAACATACATCTTCCATTCCCCCTCACGACTCGACTCGGCACGCACGCACTC